GGTTGGGGATGCTTGGGGAGTCGCTCACGATCTCAAGGGTGCCGAGGACCTTCTTACTTCCGAGTTGCTCAAGATAGGGCTCGCCATCTCGCTCCCCGAAAAGCACCAGACGGTCGTGGGTCAGAACATCCGTCGCGTCGTTCGGAAGGCCGACCCGTCGTCGGCTAAGTTCTTGACCAGATCGGTACGTAATTTGGGACTTGATTTTGGGGGTGGCCATCGTGTCTTTTATGCTGTTCGGGCTCAGCGGTGGGGCACAAATTCGCCCAGGGTTCCTCGGTATAGGCGTATGGCTACAAGTTGGCCCAGACGGGCCTGAAGCCAGGGGTGCTATGGGGTGTCGGAGTGCATGGAATCAGTAACACACACACACACACACTTGTTGAGGGCAAGGCAGATCGCTCGAGCTGGTTTGGTGCACAGGCATACTGGCAGGCCCCTCTCCCTCGATCTCATGATTGCAGGCCGCCAGGTTGACCCAGCCTACGAGTGCAACCGTGGGCCAATCTTCTTCTGGCTGCAGGCGCTGTGGGATGGATCGGCTTCGTCATCTGATATGGCTCGACTTCTGTGCGGGGCTTGGGCTTGTCTGTCGGCTCTCCCCGAAAACAGGGTTTGGTCCGACATTCGTGGGCCCGCTTCGGCCCTTGTGGGCTCCATGATGCGTCTCGGCTGGAAGTTGTTGGGCCCTTTTCGCCGGCAGACCCATCGAGGCCCCATTTTCGTCGAAATCGCCGCGAGATGGGGGCAGGTTGGCAGGTGAAGCTACAGAGCGCTGGGTGTGGCAGCAAGTTTTAGCTAAGCATTCGTCTTGGGCCTCACTGTGTCCTCATCATCCTATCCTGGAGCCTTTGAGGTCCCTCCCCCTCTGCTCTTCGCTCAAAGGCCCCGGCTGGACCCCTAGGCACCAAGGGCTCCTTAAGTGCCTTTTTGCGGGTGGTTGCTTGTCCCAAGACAGGCTCTATGAAGCTGGCGGAGCGGTCAATCCAGAGTGCCTCGCGTGGAAGACTGTTGGCTCCACATGGCGCCGCTTTTATGATTGCCCTGTGCATGCTGAGTACCGTCGCGAGTATAAGGCTGGCTGTGCGATGGCCAGTCAGATGCTGGAGTTGGCTACGTCTACAGCTGACCTCTAGCTTATTTGGACCAGGTTCCTGGTCCCTGACCCGCCCTGGCTTTTTCCGAGCCCGTGCCTTGAGGAGCGAGTGGTGTGGACCCTGAGGTCGCCCGATTTGCTGCTCGATGTGCGTGTGTTTGGAGATGGCTCGGGCGTGCATGGGCGATTTAGTCGCCTCAGGAGATGTGGGTGGGGTCTGTGCTCGCTCGATTCCCAGTGGAAGGAAGTCGCTAGAATGCATGGACCGCTGCCCACGCTGTTCCAGACTGCGCCCGTTGTTGAGTTGTTTAGTTTCCTCGTGGCCCTTCGGTGCATGGGAGCGCAATTTAAGTTTTTCACCGACTGCAAGCCACTCGTTGATGTTTGGCGCCAGGGGTCTGGCGCTGGCACGGCTGCCGGCGACCCTTTGGCTTACTTGTGGAGGGAGGTTTGGAGTCTGGTGTCGGGCCGTGGGGTGGAGGCGGTGGAGGTTACTTATGTGAAAGCGCACTCGCCTTCCTCTGCTGTTGCGGATGATGCGTTCACTTCTTGGCAGCGGTTCGGCAACTCTAAGGCCGACGCTTCGGCCAAGCGCGGTGCTGCTATGCATCCCGATGCTGAGCCGTTGCGAGCAGCGCACCGTGTTTCGCGCAGTGCGATCAAGGTGGTCGCCCAGTTCTGCACGCGCGTTGCCTCGAGGATAGGCTCGGTCACCCCACTAGATGCGCAGGCTCAGGCGCTTGGCAGGGCGATCGTCACCATTGAGGGAGGACTCGGCCCGCCGAGGTCGCACTCTCGCTTTGACCCCGCGATCGCGTATTGCGAGCGCCGCTATCGATGCATGATCTGTCTTCGGCCGGCGAAGTCCCGACTGATACTTCGCCAGCTCAAGTGCCAGGACACAGCTGGCATGCACGCTCTCCATCGGACGGGACGTTCTGCTCACTGTACGGCGCCTATTCGGAGAAACGCAGCCAGGGACTTTCGGTAGAGTGCATGCCGAGGCAACGTCGGCTCGGCACTCAGGTGAAGGACTCTCGATTTGATCTCCTTCAGAATCTGCTGAAGGGTTGCAACCCCAACAAGTCGAGCTTGTTTCTAGGCCTTCCTATTTTGCTGCGGAAGAGTAGGTCCTGCGAGACGGCTAGCATGCCGCCGCTTCCCTCTCTCCCTGAGACCTCTGGGGCGGGGAGTGGGTCGGGAGTGGGGGCGGGGTGGGCGGGGCAGGAGCACTCTCTTATTCCTGTTTCCCAGGCTGTGTCGGCCTTGTGGGAGGACCTGGTTGGCTTCTCTGATGCCAGCGAGTCGGATGACGAAGACGACCCTTCCTTCCCGCGTAGCGAGGAGTTGGGTCGAATAGCGTCTCCTTCGTTGGCCCGTGGGTTTTTATATGCAGGCTGGTACGCGTGCGGTTGGTCTTTGTCAGGTCAAACAAACAGTAATAGTTATATGACGAGGAGGAGGAGAGCGAGGAGGAAGAGGAGGAAGAGGAGGAAGCGGAGGCGGAGGCGGAGGAGGAGGAGGAAGAGGAGGAGAAGGAGGAGGATGAGGAGGACGAGGACGAGGACGAGGAGCAGGAGCAGGAGCAGGAGCAGGAGCAGGAAAAGGAGGCGAAGGAGGAGGAGGAGGATGAGAAGGAGGAGGCGGAGGACCTCCCCATCCTCCGTTCTCCTCCGCCCCGAAAAACCCGTCCTACATTCGGTCGTGGGGGCGGGAAATCGGCCCATAAGTTGCTGCCACCATTGCCATAGCGCTCGGCCCCTTTTAGCCGAAAGGGTGCGCGACACGAAAAAAAGGTGCCCGAATACCCAATACCCGAACATGTGTCCGGAATGGGAAAATGTGTTCGAAGTTGCGACAGAAGAAAGATGACCAGGCTCGTGGCCGAAGCTGAAATCTTTTTGGTTTCGAACCAAGAACTTCGGTCACACTTCTGGCGGATTCGGTTGAATTCGGGCGCCGGTTTCGGTCGTACACGGGCAGATGTTCGGGCACAGCTTCCGTCACTACACCCACATTGTAGAGACGAGGCTGCGATACCATTGGTCTGCCGCTGTCCGTTAGAGAAGACAAGCATACCGACACCGACGCCCCTCCTTTGTTCTCGCCTCTTTGGGCCCCCCTGGGTTGCAAAGTCGCCACTGCTGGGATCGTCTGGGGCTCTTGGCCAGCAGGCGCAGTACCGATATCATTAATGTTCGTGTGTATTCGCAACCGCCGCCGTCACCAGCTGTGCCGCCGTCGTCAGCTTCCACCACCTCCACGCCACTCTTGAGCCACGGGGGCTGCCCGATGAAACCGCCCTGCCGGTGCGCGACGAGGTGGGCAGCCCACCTGGCAGCTCGACCAGTTGCTGGCGGGGCGCGGTGGTCGGGGCCTTGCGGCAAAAAAAAATCAAACCCAGGACGGCAGGCAGCAGGCAGCAGTGGTTGGAGGCTTGTGCGACACCACCGTGTTGGGTTGCAGGAGAGGTCGGAGGGTAGTGGCGGGCTGCCAGAAAGGGGCCCTGGCGAGTGCCCGAGGGGGAGCCCTGGATGATCCTATCGACTGCACCCAGCTAGGGTCGCTGTCGTCATCCCCAGTGGTTCTCTTAGGCTCGAGCCGTGGCCGAGGAACAGCTGGAAGTCGGGGGGGGCAGCTCGCCTGGTTGGGTAGGTCCAGGGGAGGCTTTGGGGTATGACAGGAGGTGGCTATCCATTTGTGCTCTTTCCCTGGGGGCCTCTTGGCCTCTTAGAGGCCTCTTGAGTTCTTTGGGAAGCCTCTCGGGGTCTTCCCAAGCCTCTCGGGGGCCTGTTGAAGGCATCTTTGGGTCTCTTGGGAGCGTCTGGTGGGCCTCTGGGGGGAGTTTTGGGGCCATCTGTGGGCAAAAGAACCGAAAGCCCCTTCGCGCTTCCACTCTTGGGCCCCTGTAGGGGGACTGGGGGGCCCTCTTGGGACGCTCTTGGAGGCCTCTTGGGCTGTCGTGGACACACTTTAAGACCGAAAAGGCGGTCATGTCAAAATTACATGAAATCTGAATGGCTGCGAAGTGTGAAATTGTTGGGATCCTGGGAGGTCGTGTGGAGTGGAGTTTCACGGGGATCCACTTGAGATCCATGGTTCATTGGGGAGGCTGCGACGTGTGAAACTGTCGCCATTTCTCGTGGGCTCCTGGGGGGTCGTGTGGAGTGAAGTTTCACGAGATTCCAGTTGAGACCTCGCGGCTCCCTGGCGCGAACTTCAACAACTCACAGCAGGAAGCAGAAAGCAGGACTGTAACATTGGAGATTTGAAGCTGCAACTGGTGCAGGGAGCAACACACTTCGGCCTACAGCTTGGCGGCCCGCAAAGGGGCCGACTGATCATTTTGCCCCCGCTCGTTTCTGTCATCGTTGCCGTTTTCCCGTTCATGATAAGTTCTGTTCCCCCTTCCTCCCCCCGCACGCCATACTCGCCTGATCGTATTTTCCACCCATACGTTCGGTATGACGAGCATACAACAATACACTACACATCTGTTTATTGTTTCGCCGCGCGCCCACCATTTGGTATCCAGTTTTGGTATGGGTTGGTCGGTGGGGATACCCCAAAACGGATGTGTGTTCCCTTCTGGTTTCTTCGTCGGAGTACCTTGGAATATCCACAAACACGCGAAGGTAACAATGCTTCGCGCTTGGTGGCTTGGAGCGGTCATTCGACCTTATCCAGAGGGCCGCGCGAGAGCGTTAGGGTAATTAGAGCGACGCTTCCGTGCAACAGCGCAGCGCGTCGCGCGCGTGGCCTTGGCCAGAGAGCCGCGGCGCAACGGCTACCAACCGCAGAGGGCACCCGTGCACCGCCACCGCGCCTGGCCAGGGCCCAGGGCGGCCTTGCGCAGGCACGGTGGCGGAGGTGTGCGGGGGCCCTCCGCGCCGCGGTGCCGCAGGCGGTGCAGCGCCGCCACCGCGCCCGCGTCGCCCTCCGAGCCCGCGGCCGCGGGCGGCCTGGACGCGGAGCGCCTGGCCTTGAGACTGCGGCTCGGGAGCGGCTGGCGGGAGCAGGTCGGCCGCGCCGCAGGTGCGCCCACGAGGAGAGGAGGAGGAGGAGGAGGAGGAGGAGGAGGAGGAAAACCACTGTAAACGTAAGGCCTCATCAGCGATGTTGGAATAAACCCTTCCTCCAAGCTCCCCTATCATAGGCCCCATACAAGGGTTCATTTCCACTCAGGAACGTGCCCCGTCTTGATACAACCGTTTGAAGATCCGGAAGCGCTCGAAGATACAATTCTCGGGACTCCAACCCCACGAATCAACCGGACTGCTGCGCCTTTACGATCCTGAATCGTGCCAGTCTTAACCATGGTAATCCCCGAAAATGCGCGGCGCTAAGGCGGGAGCCACATTTTGAAAGGAGCCGCCCTCAATCCGTGAAACCCTTACAGTTTTTAAGACGAGTGTGCGCGGCGTTAGTGCGAGAGTCACATTTTGGAAGCAGCCCGCCGCCCATCTGTGGAAACAGTCGCCAATTTCAAAGCTTCAGGAGGATCAGTGGTAAGGCAGGCGAAACGCCCAGTCCGTCCTTCCGATTGGCCTCGGGGTGCGACAGGGGGGAGTTTTTTGATAAGGACAAAGAATGGAGGACGTGCGCGAGCAGTGCTCCATGGGGGGGCGGGGGGGGGGACAGGCCCGCCGAGCCCCCTCGCAACCGAGGCGACGTGCGGGCCGTGCTCTCGTTGCTGGTGGACCGGGGGCGCCTGGAGCCGAACCCGGGGCAGGCGCCGCGCGGGCAGGGGCGAGTAGCCTCCCGTTGTGTCTTTTTTGGGCGGGCTGGGGTTCATTACCATCATCATCATCATCATCATCATCATCAGCATCACCATCATCATCATCATCATCATCATCATCATCACCATCATCATCACCCACCATCATCATCACGTTGGAATCATTACCGTCATCATCAACATGAACATCATCATCATCATCATCATCATCATCATCATCATCACAATCATCACCATCACCACACTTACCATCACCATCATCACCACCATCATCATCATCGTGAGTTAGCATCATCATCATCACCACCATCACCACCATTCCCACCACCATCATCATCACCACCATCACCATCAGCACCTTCAAGATCACCATCATCATCATCATCATCATGGTCATCGGCGTCAGCATAAACATCATGATCATCATCACCCTAATCATCATCACCATCATCATCACCGTCATCATTACCTTGTTTTTTCATTACCGTCATCATCAACACGACCATCATCATCACCATCATCATCGTAATCAACATCACCACCATTACCATTACCACCATCATCAGCACCATCATCATCATCATCATCATCATCATCATCATCGTAATCACCATCAGCATCACCACCATCATCATCAGCAACAGCGTCATCAACATCACGATCAGCATCGGCATCAGCATCAACACCATCATCATTATCATCATCATCACAACCATCCTCATCATCATTTATCACGTTTGCCTCATCACGGCATCGTCATCAGCATCATCATCAGTATTTCCACCATCACCACCATTACCATCACCACCATCATCACCATTACCATCACCACCATCATCATCATCACCATCACCATCATCAGCATCATCATCACCAGCATCATCACCACCGTTGCCATTATCACAACCAACGTCATCATCAGCATCATCAACATCATCATCATCGACATTAGCATCAACGTCATCACCATCATCATCATCACGTTGTCATCATTACCTTCACCATCATCATGCCCATCATCATCATCATCTCCAGCATCAGCACCATCACCACCATTACTATTGCCACCATCATCATTACCACCATCACCATCATCGTCATCATTATTATCATCATCATGAGCATCATCACCGCACTCATCACCATCACCACCATCATCTTCAGCAGCAGCATCAACATCATCAGCAGCGTCAGCATCAGCATCATCAGCACCACCATCATCATCACCATCGTCACCATCATCATCATCATCATCATCATCATCATCTTCATCTTCATCTTCATCTTCGTACCAGTCGCACGCATCATTCTATCATTACCATCATCATCACCATCAGCATCATCACCATCACCATCATTATCATCACCACAATCATCACCACCACCATCATCACCATCGTCATCATTAGCATCATTATTTCAGCATCATCACACTCATCATCATCACCACCATCATCAGCAGCAGAAGCGCCATCAACATCATCATAGTCATCATCAGCATTATCGGCATCAGCATCAACATGTTCATCATCACCATCACCATCATCACCATCCCCGCCGTCTTCATCATCATCGTTGTCATCATTACAGTCATCATCAACATGACCATCATCATCATCATTTTCATACCGGGCCCTGTGGTCGCCGCAAACCGCGGCGCTCGTCAGGGCTGTCGGCTCGGCGCGGTGTGCGTCAACATAGCCTACGAGCTGGCCCTCAAGAGAGTGCGGCACATAATCCAGGAGAGCGGCATCCAGCTCAGCATTAAGATGTCCACGCACGCCTCCGTGCCCTGGTCAACTGATTTCGACAGCAGCCCCGATCACGTCACTTTGCAGCAGGCTCCCAACGACGAGCAATATGTTGACCACGTCACATTCGAGTTCCTGGCCGACTCCCCTCAGGAGTTGCTCGCCCAGGTTGACCCGGCAGTGGACATCATCACCGAAGAGTTCCGCAGGGTCGGCTTCGTGATCGACGTGGGACCTGGGAAATCTGCGATCATGGCGCGGATGTACGGCCAGGGCTCCCGTACGACCTTGAGGACACGTTTCCTCTCCATGGGGCGGTCGGTCTATCGATCACCTCAGGACTAGAGCTCGAAGTTGTACATGATTTCCCGCACTTCGGCACAACTGCAAGCGTCTGGTCGGCACATCTTGGATGCCAAGCAAAAGACGTCCAAGGCCCAGCAAACCTACGCCCCCCTAGCGGTGCGCATTTTTGGATGCAACTCCTTACGGTGCTCCACGCGATCGACTTTAGCTACAAGCTTGTTTTTTTTTTTCGAAGAGTCACTACGGCATGTCAGCCTGGCGTGGAGACGACCCTCAAGCCGTGGCCAGTTTGAATGGCCACTACCATCGTGTCCTCAGGAGGATCTCGGGCGACATGCGCTACGGGGCCCCTGACACGGCCACCGACGAGGAGGTCCTGGAGAAGGTGCACGCCCCGCTCCTCGCGTCGATGGCCCGGAGGCTCTCCCAGCTTGCATCCCACTTCACGGCAGCGCCAAAGGTAGTCCAGATGATGGTCGAGGCTCTCCCGAAGCCCCCGTCGGCGCAGATGCTGCTCTGCGACCTCGAGCAGTTCGCGGTGACTTTCCCCGACGTGGGGCAGAAGCTCGGCTCGCCCTCCGCACGCCTGGAGAAGTGGAAGGCATACATCGTCGAATCCCCTCGGCGCTGGAAGAGCCAAGCCGCCCTGATGAAGTGGTGGATCCCTGACCGGCCAGACCTGCCGGCCACGCGCAGGCTGAGGGGGAAGCAGACCCCTCCCCCTCCGGCTGCCTCGGCCAAGCCTCTCCTCATTTGCCCCGCCTGCGGCAAGCAGTGCAAGGGTTCGCAAGGCTTGGCCGCGCATTTGAGACACAAGCACGGCAGGAAAATGACTGCTCGTAGTTTCTGCGTTGGATCAGTGTGCCCAGCCTGTGGTGTAAATTACCACACGCGCCCTAGGGCGTTGCACCACTTACACTTCCCTTCCAAAGCGTGTCGCGCCGCGTTGCTCGCAGGAGATCTGCCCGAGTGTAGCGCGGAGGAGATATCCGCCGCGGATTTGCGCGACCGCATCGCGCAGAAGGCCGCTAACCTTCGCGGCGACATCTGGGCGCGCGCACTAGCCCCGCCCTCGCGCGGCCCTGGCGCACCCAAGCGTGGAATTGGCCCGCGGGACCCCTCCGACACCAGCGTCCAGTGAAGGTCCGACGACACGGGTAGAACACGATTCATGTCGTGACGATTTTTCGTGTCAGCATCCGTGATGACAGGGGATCCCTTTCTCCTGGTGTGAGTTTTTCTCCCCTTTGAGCAGAGGCACCACGCCTCGTGCTGCTGGGTTTTTCTTGACACAGCAGCAGTTACTGAAGAGCTCCAGGCACCGCCTATAGCCAGCGCAAGTCAAGTCATCACCACCATCATCATAAGCAGCATCATCAGCATCATCCTCAGCATTATCAGCACCACCATCACCGTCACCATCATCATCGCCACATCGCCGCCACCATCATCATAATCATAATCGTCATCAGCAACAACAACATCATCAGCACCATAATCATCAACACCATGTTTTTTGGTCCTCATCCATAGCACCATCACATCAGCATCTGCATAATCATCGTCAGCATCATCATAATCATCAACGTCATCTTCCTCATCAGCGTGATCAGCATCATCACCATCATCACTTTTTCACCATCACCATCGCCATCACCATCACCATCACCATCGCCCTCTTCGTCGCCATCGCCATCGCTGTCGCTATCGCCATCGCCATCGCCATCGACATATTCGCCATCATCGCCATCGTCACCATCACCATCATCACCACCATCACCTCCATACCGTCACCGTTACCTTCACCGTCGCCGTCACCGTCAGTGCTAGCATCACCATCACCATCGCAATCACCAGACCAACTGTGTTGCCAGACCACGGTGTCGTGCTCCAGGGGGTCGGATGTCACCATCACCACCACCATCAACATCACCTTGAATATCACCATCATCATCATCACCACCATCATCATCATGATCACCATCATCATCATCATCATAGTCACCATCTTTGTCGTCATCATCATCACCACCACCACAATCATCATCAGCAGCAGCATCAGCATCAGTATCATCATCAGCATCCGCATAAGCATCATTACCATCACCACCACCATTACCACCACCACCACCATCGCCACCACCACTATCACCATCATCATCACCATCACTATCACCATCACCATCACCATCACCATCATCACCGTCACAACCATCATGATCATCACCAGTATGATCGGTACTGGCCCCGAGATCTTGATTTTGCATTTTTTCGCATCGAGCGTTCTCGCCCCACAGATCGGCCTGGCTCAAACAGTGGCGCAGAAACATGAGCACCTGGGCTCTGGTCGTGCTTTTCGCGATGCTGCATCTTTCTCGCGACGTCGGGCCTCAGGTCCGTCACCCGTCCCTCGTCGCCGCGGCTGGATTTGTTTCGGCCCGTGGAGTGGTGGTGTGGGTACCTTGTGGTTTCCCCAGGGGCAGGGCGTCGCGCCTGCCATCTTGCGGGAGGGCTGCGTGGGGCCCAGGAGGGGAGGGGGGAGGGAGGGAGGGAGGAGGTGGGGCACGGAGGATGTGGAGGAGGGGCGGGGTGAAGCGCAGGGAGTTGGAGAGAGGAGTTCATCAAGCAGGAAAGCGGCTAGGATTCTGTCATCTGCGTTCTTGGCAGAAGCACTCGCTCTTGAATGGGGTCTTCAAGCATTCGCGTGCCTGACTTTCGAGTAAGGGGGCGATGGGAAGTTACAGGGTACAGCAAGCGTCTGCGCGCACCGCATTGCGCATCTCTAGAAAAAGAATAACAGCAGTAGTGTGGGGAGGGGGAAGGGTACAATCAGCGGAGAGTGTGTGCACCTTTCTCTCCTGAACGCTGCTCGGCGAGACGGCCCGAGTCGAGAGCTGTGAACACCGTGTGGGCTCTCGACACGCCCGAGCTTGA